CAACCCCATGGAACTCCCCAGTGCCACAATTGATTTTCCAACAGACATAGGCTCATTAGGGTCAGTCCCAAATTCTTCAAAATCCCTCTTGTCGACACAATCTGGCCACAATTTTCTCCAGGCAGAGTTCAAAGTCCTGGTAGTCACTCCCTCCCAAGCCATACCTATAAGGGTTATGCAATGGAGGATACTGAAGTGTTCTCTCCAAAATTCCCTTAAGTCAAGCGAGTGTCTGTGGTCACAGTCAAGCACCTGTGAAACATTGCTTTTGTGTAGAGCTTTTTAAAGTTTGCAATGACCTGCTGGTCCATGGGCTGGAGGAGAGTGGTATTTGGGGGCAAGAACATTACTGTGATGAACCCAAACTCCTCGAAAATTAGATCATCCAAGTTTGGAGGATGAGCAGGTGCATTGTCCATTACTAGCAGGCACTTGAGATCCAATTTCTTTTCCAGGAGATACTCCTTCACACTAGGGCCAAACACTTCATTGAACCACTCGACGAAAATTTCCCTCATGACCCATGCCTTACTATTAGATTTCCAAAACACACACAATTTACTCTTCATAACATTGTTTTTCCTGAACACTCTGGGATTTTCAGAATGGTCCACTAGTAATGGCTTCACTTTGAAATCCCCACTAGCATTAGCGCAGAACATTAGCGTCAGCCTGTCTTTCATAGGCTTGTGTCCTGGCATTGCCTTTTCCTCTTGTGTAATGAAGGTCCTCCGGCATTTTCTTCCAAAAGAGGCCTGTTTCGTCACAATTGAACACTTGTTCAGGTTTCAGTCCTTCAGCCTCTATATACTCCTGGAATTCCTGCACATATTTTTCAGCCGCCTTGTGGTCCGAACTGGCAGCCTCACCATGCCTTACCACACTGTGTATGCCAGTACGGTTCTTAAATCTCTCAAACCAGCCTTTGCTGGCCTTAAATTCACTCACATCACCACTATTTGCAGGCAATTTCTTTACCAAATCTTCATGCAACTGCCTAGCCTTTTCACAAATAATCGAAGTCATAAGAGTATCTCCTGCTAATTGTTTCTCATTTATCCACACCAATAATAACTTCTCAACCTCTTCAAGTACTGGTGATCTCATTTTTGTCAGCATAGTTACCCCCTTTGCAACAACAGCATCCTTGATTTCCTCCTTCTTGGCCACTATGGAACATAAGGTTGTGTAGGGTTTCTTATACAGTGGACCCCCGCATACTGTTGGCATCACATAACGTTAAATCCGCATACCAATACATTTTATCGCTAAGATTTTGCCTCGCATACCGCTAAAAAACCCGCTCAATGCTATTCGTCCGAGACGCGTCTAATGTGCGGCCTGAGCCAGCCTCACACGTTCCGCCGGTGGCATTGTTTACCAGCCAGCCTCCGCGGTAAGATCCAAGCATACAATCGGAACATTTCGTATTATTACAGTGTTTTTGGTGATTTTATCTGCAAAATAAGTGACCATGGGCCCCAAAAAAGCTTCTAGTGCCAACCCTACAGGAATAAGGGTGAGAATTACTATAGAGATGAAGAAAGAGATCATTGCTAAGTATGAAAGTGGAGTGCGTGTCTCCGAGCTGGCCAGGTTGTATAGTAAACCCCAATCAACCATCGCTACTAATGTGTCCAACAAAACGGCAATCAAGGAAGCTGTTCTTGCCAAAGGTTCAACTGTGTTTTCGAAACAGAGATCGCAAGTGATGGAAGATGTTGAGAGACTCTTATTGGTATGGATAAATGAAAAACAGATAGCATGAGATAGTATCTCTCAAGTGATCATAAGTGAAAAGGCTAGGAAGTTGCATGAGGATTTAATTAAAAAAATGCCTGCAACTAGTGATGATGTGAGTGAATTTAAGGCCAGCAAAGGTTGGTTTGAGAGATTTAAGAAGCGTAGTGGCATACATAGTGTGATAAGGCATGGCGAGGCTGCCAGTTCAGACCACAAAGCAGCTGAAAAATATGTGCAGGAATTCAAGGAGTACATAGACAGTGAAGGACTGAAACCTGAACAAGTGTTTAATTGTGATGAAACAGGCCTGTTTTGGAAGAATATGCCAAGCAGGACCTACATTACTCAGGAGGAAAAGGCACTCCCAGGACATAAGCCTATGAAATACAGGCTTACTCTGTTTGTGTGTTCCAATGCTAGTGGTGATTGCAAAGTGAAGCCTTTATTAGTGTATCACTCAAACTCCCAGAGCGTTCAGGCAAAAGAATATCCTCAAGGCTAATTTGTGTGCGCTGTGGAGGGCAAACAGTAAGGCATGGGTTACTAGGGACTTTTTCTATGACTGGTTACACCAAGCATTTGCCCCCAATGTGAAAGATTACCTAACTGAAAAGAAATTAGACCTTAAGTGCCTCCTGGTGTTAGACAATGCCCCTGGTCTTCCTACAGACGTGGCAGAGCGACTTTATGGGGACATGAGCTTCATTAAGGTGAAGTTTTTGCCTCCTAATACCACTCCTCTCCTGCAGCCCATGGACCAGCAGGTTATTGCAAACTTCCAAAAACTGTACACAAAAGCTCTGTTTGAAACGTGCTTTGTAGTGACCTCAGAAACTCAATTGACTCTAAGAGAGTTCTGGAGAGATCACTTTAATATCCTCAATTGTGTAAACCTCATAGGTAAGGCTTGGGAGGGAGTGACTAAGAGGACCTTGAACTCTGCTTGGAAGAAACTGGCCAGAATGTGTAGACCAAAGGGATTTTGAAGGGTTTGAGGCTAACCCTGGGAATCCTATGCCAGTTGAGGAATCCATTGTGGCATTGGGAAAGTCCTTGGGGTTGGAGGTTAGTGAGGATGATGTGGAAGAGTTGGTGGAGGAGGACAATGAAGAACTAACCACTGATGAGCTGCTAGATCAACTTCAACAGCAAGAGGCCAGACCTGAGGAAACTGGTTCGGAGGAGTGGATAGAGAAATTGAAGAAGTTGCCTACTTCAAAGATTAAGGAAATGTGTGGAATGTGGCTTAAAGTGCAAACCTTTTTTGATGACAATCACCCTAACACAGCTATTGCAAGCCGTGCTGGTGACTATTACACTGACACTGTTGTGAAACACTTTAAGAAAGTCATAAAGGAACGAGAGGTACAGGCCACTATGGACAGATATGTTGTGCGACAGAAGTCCAGTGACTCTCAAGCTGGTCCTAATGGCATTAAAAGAAGGGAAGTAACCCCAGAAAAGGACTTGACACCTCAAGTCTTAATGGAAGGGGATTCCCCTTCTAAACACTAAGACTCTCTCCTCCTCCCATCCCATCAATCATCACCAGATCTTCAATAAAGACAAGTGTCATGTAACTGTGCATGCCTTTTTCAGTTTGTATGTATTAAAATTAATATTTCATGTGGTAAAAAATTTTTTTTTCATACTTTGGGGTGTCTTGCACGGATTAATTTGATTTCCATTATTTCTTATGAGGAAAATTCATTTGCATAACGATAATTTTGCATAACTATGAGCTCTCAGGAACGGATTAATATCGTTATGCGGGGGTCCACTGTACATCCTGGACAGTTCGGCCACACTTGTACCACTTTCATATTGTTCAATGATGGTTTTCTTAAATTCAATCGTATTTCTCACCTTCTTTACCACAGGCTTGGCACTAGGAGCTTTCTTTGGAGCCATGGTAGCTTATTTAGTACTTGCAAGCACTAAAATAAATGGAATATTATGAAATATTTCGCTGGAGCACGTGAGGAGACCTTCGCTCACTGGTAAACAATGCCAGACTGGCTGCCGCCATGGCTCACGCTGTGGGTACGCGTCCCGGACGAACTACGACTCGCGAGTCAACTTATGAAAAGCGAGTCCATGTTTATACGAAAATAACCCTATGATTGGCGAAATTTACGATTGCCGGGAACTACGTAAAGCGAGGGACCACTGTAGTAGAAGTAAATAGGATGAAGTCAGAGGCTGCAACACTGAAAAGTTCTGTTTCTCAAGTCAATGTACTTGCCCCAGTTGTTTCTCATTCTTATATCTGATATCAACTAGGCCATAAATCATAGCACTAACATATTTCACTGATGACACCAGATGTTGGCAACAACGTTGGTCTGGTCTGACTCATAACAAATTACATTCTATCAAACCAAGTTTCGGTTTCTAGCCTTCTTGTCATTGATGCTGAGGTTGGGAGACAACACTGTTTTCACATCAGGCACACTCATCTCACTCATGGAGTATCTCATGGATAGGCACCCGGTTCCACTCTGAATATTGTCTGGTTCCAATTTCAATTTCCCATATTCTATTGGACTGCCCTGTCTATCAACGAGCATGCAGAATTTTCCTCCATCATCATCACCACTCTTACATCCTTGCTTTATCTTTCCTCCTTGCAGATGCCCCCCACCTTTAACACAGACTCCATCTTTGACTTTTTGACAGCAACTGATTTATTACACAAACTTTGATAATCCTTCCTTTAGCACTCCTCACAGCCCTTTCTAACTCTCTTCTGTTATCCTCTCCACACTTACTACTCTCTGATCCTACACTACCCCCTGCCCTACTAAGCTGTATGATCCTCATGGGTTTAGCACTTTTGATTATAATAATAATTTTTTTTTTTTTCAACAAGTCGGCCGTTTCCCACCGAGGCAGGGTGACCCAAAAAAAAAAAAAGAAAGAAAATCCCCAAAAAGAAAATACTTTCATCATCATTCAACACTTTCACCACACTCGCACATTATCACTGTTTTTGCAGAGGTGCTCAGAATACAACAGTCCAGAAGCATACACATAATAAATAATAATAATAATAATAATAATAATAATAATAATAATAAGGAAGGTGGTAATTTCATGCACTGGTCAGGGAGGTATAACATCTTTTAGGAGTGAACAAGAGCAGGAAGTGAGTGTGGGGGAGGTGCACGAGGCATTACATAGAATGAAAGGGGTTAAAGCAGCTGGAACTGATGGGATCATGACAAATGTTAAAAGCAGGGAAGGGATATTGTACTGGAGCAGTTGGTATTCTTGTTTAATAAATGTATGAAAGAGGGGAAGGTACCTAGGGATTGGCAGAGAGCATGTATAGTTCCTTTATATAAAGGGAAGGGGGACAAAAGAAATTGTAAAAATTATAGGGGAATAAGTTTACTGAGTTAGGTAGTAGGTTAGTAGACAGCAACCGCCCAGGGAGGTACTACCGTCCTGCCAAGTGAGTAAAATGAAAGCCTGTAATTGTTTTACATGATGGTAGGATTGCTGGTGTCCATCTTGCTACTTCTTACACTTAGGTCACACTACACATATATGTACAAACATGTATATACACACCCCTTTGGATTTTCTTCTTTTTCTTTCTAGTTCTTGTTTATTTCCTCTTACCTCCATGGGGAAGTGGAACAGAATTCTTCCTCCGTAAGCCATGCGTGTTGTAAGAGGCGACTAAAATGCCGGGAGCAAGGGGCTAGTAACCTCTTCTCCTGTATATATTACTAAATCTGAAAGGGGAAACTTTCATTTTTTCTTTTGAGCCACCCCCCCCTCGGTGGGATACGGCCGGTGTGCTGAAAGAAAGATACACACCCCTCTGGGTTTTCTATTTTCTTACTAGTTCTTCTTCTTCTTTATTTCCTGTTATCTCCATGGGGAAGTGGAACAGGATTCTTCCTCCGTAAGCCATGTGTGTTGTAAGAGGCCGCTAAAATGCCGGGAGCAAGGGTTAGTAACCCCTTCTCCTGTACAAGTTACTAAATTTAAAAAAAAACTTTCGTTTTTTCTTTTTGGGCCACCCTGCCTCAGTTGGATACGGTCAGGTAGTGTACAGAAGAGTTATTATTGAAAGAATTAGAGGTAAGACAGAGTAGGATTGCAGATGAGCAAGGAGGCTTTTGGGAGGGTAGGGGATGTGTAGATCAAGTGTTTACATTGAAGCATATATATGAACAGTTTTTAGATAAAGGTAGGGAAGTTTTCATTGCATTTATGGATTTAGAAACTCATATGATAGAGTGGATAGGTGAGCAATGTGGCAGATGTTGCAAGTATATGAAATAGGTAGTAAGTTACTAAATGCTGTAAAGAGTTTTTATGAGGATAGTGAGGCTCAGGTTAGGGTATGTAGGAGAGAGGGAGATTACTTCCCGGTAAAGTAGGTCTTAGACAGGGATGTGTAATGTCACCATGGTTGTTTAATATATTTATAGATGGGGTTGTAAAAGAAGAAAATGTTAGAGTGTTGGGGAGAGGGAAGGGATTAAATTATGGGGAATCAAGTACAAAATGAGAGTTGACTTTTGCTGATGATACTGTGCTTATGGGAGATGTAAAGAAAAGTTGCAAAGGTTAGTGGATAAGTTTGGGAGGGCACATAAGGTAGAAAGTTGAAAGTGAACATAGACAAGAGTAAGGTGATGAGGGTATCAAATGATTTAAAGAAAAATTAGATATCACATTGGAGAGAGGGAGTATGGAAGAAGTGAATGTTTTCAGATATTTGGGAGTTGACTTGTCAGCAGATGGGTTTATGAAGGATGAGGTTAACCATAGAACTGATGAAGGAAAAAAGGCGAGTGGTGCGTCAAGATATTTGTGGAGACGAAAAAATGTTATCTATACAGGCAAAGAAGGGAATGTATGAAAGTATAGTGGTACCAACACTCTTTAAGATAGGAGTGTGAAGCTTGGGTTGTAAATGCTGCAGCGATGAGGCAGTTGGAGGCAGTGGAGATGTCCTGTTTAAGGGCAATGTGTGGTGCAAATATTATGCAAAAAATTCGGAGTGTGGAAATTAGGAAGAGGTGTTTATCTGGAGTTTATCTGGAGAGAGTTCCAGGGGTCAACGCCCCCGCGGCCCGGTCTGTGACCAGGCCTCCTTAGGTCAGTGTCCCAGGATGCGACCCACACCAGTCGACTAACACCCAGGTACCCATTTTACTGATGGGGAACATAGACAACAGGTGGAAAGAAACACGTCCAATGTTTCTACTCTGGCTGGGAATCGAACCCAGGCCCTCACCGTGTGAAGCGAGAGCGTTAACCACCAGGCCACCAGAGTTACTAAAAGTATTAGTCAGAGGGCTGAAGAAGGGTTGTTGAGGTGGTCAGGTCATTTCAACAGAATGGATCAAAGTACATGTAGAATGGCTTGGAGAGCGTATAAATCTGTAGGGGAAGGTAGGATGGGTAGGGGTTGTCCTCGAAAAGGTTGGAGAGGGTAAACGAGGTTTTGTGGGCAAGGGGCTTGGACTTCCAGCCAGTGTGTTAGATAGAAGTGAATGGAGACAAATGGTTTTTAGAACTAACGAGTTGCTGGAGTGTGAGCAGGGTAATACTTAGTGAAGGGATTTAGGGAAACCAGTTAGCTGGACTCGAGTCCTAGAAATGGGAAGTACAATGTCTGCACTTTAAAGGAGGGGTTTGGGATATTGACAGTTTGGAGGGACTTCTAAACTGTTGTATCTGAGCACCTCTGCAAAGGCAATGATTATGTGTGAAGTGAAAGTGTTGAATGATGATGAAAGTATTTTCTTTTTGGGGATTTTCTTTCTTTTTGGGTCACCCTGCCTCGGCGGGAGACAGCCGACTTGCTGAGAAAAAAAATAATAATAATAATGATTGACACCAGAATCTCTGAGACTGGCATCTGTCAAAAACACAGCAAATCTTCAGGAAGATATTAATCAAGTCTTTAAATGGGCTTCAGAATACAATATAATATATATTTTACTAGGACAAGTTTTAGTTGTTCCGCCATGAAAGCAGAGGAAATAAAGACTAACTGAGTATAAGGCAAACTCAGATCGTTCAATAGAGCAAAAGTCCCAGCGTAAGGCCTGGGAGTAATGATGTCGGTAGATCTGACATTCGAAGATTACAACAAGGTTGACATTTCTACTGCAACGAAAATTATAGGATGTATAAATATAACTTTCAAGACAAAATGCTAAGCCAGTGATGATACTCTTCAAGTTACTTATTCTCTCCAAGGTAGTACAGGGCTGTATACTAAAAACCCTCTTCAAGGCGGGCAAGATTGCCGAGCTGGAAAAGGTACAGAAAATTTCATGCTAGTATATGCTCAAAATCAAGCATCTGAACTATTGGAGACACTATGCTCTTGAAATATTCTTTAGAATGTAGGGAAGAAAGGTGCATAATAATTTATGCCTCAAAGATCCTGGAGGGACTGGTCCCAAACCTCAATACAGAAATCACTTTGTATTACGAGAAACTTGATAGATGGTGTTAAATACCTTCGCTAAAAAGCAGGTGTGATGAGTATACTAACAACTATGAGTGCCATAATGAAAATTACCAGGAAACCTCTGGCTGTCTTCAAGAAGAAGCTAAAGTTCCTTAAATCAGTGCCTGATCAGCTACGCTGTGGTTAATATGTTGGACTGTGTGTGCCTAGCAGTAACAGCCTGATCAACCAGGCCTTGATCCTCCATGAGGCCTGGTCTGGGACCAGGCCACAAGGGCATTGACCCCAGAAACATCCTTTAGGTACACATTGCTCTTAAACATGACATCACTGCCCCTAGTGCCACCTCACTGCAGCATTCAAAGCCCATGCCTCACATCCATATAAAAGTCTTGGTACCAATATACTCTGGTAAATTAATTTTTTGGCCTTCATTAGATAAACATCTTTCTTTCCAAAGATGCCTCAACACATCACCTACATTTTTTATCCTCATCTATTCTACAGTTCACCTCTTCTTTCATAGATCCATCTGCTAATATGTCCACTCCCAAATACACCCACTTCCTCCATACTTCTTCCTTCCAATCTCTCATGGAATCTATCATTGCTTAGACTTATTTTATCCTCATGACCTTCTCTTCTATTTAAACTTTTGATTTCCTTCTCTTACATACTCTCCCAAATTTTATCACTACCCTTTGCAACTTGTGTTCAAAATCCCCCAAAAGAACTGTCATCAACTAAGAGCAGCTGTGATAACTCCCACTTTGTATCAGATCCAACATCTTTCAGTATTACACCTCTTCCCAACACCCTAGAATTCACTTCTTTTACAACCTCATCTATAAATATGTTAAACAACCATGGCAACATCATGCATCCCTGTCTAAATCTTAATTGTTAATGAACTTGCATGTGAAGTAGAAAAAATGTAATCAGAGTATGCCAAATGCCCAGGGTGGTGTAAAATTACTCAGTCGAAGAAGCAATAAATTTTAATGCGTCATTCAGTACTACATGGCAAATGGGTGAAACAGCAAAGACAAAAGGGGTGAAGATAAAACAGGGTATAACAATTAGTCCAGTTATTAATTTTAAAATCCACAGGCTCTGCATGAAAAGGTGGGACTGTCAGAGAAGGTAAGAATAAGCACATCAAAGCAGTGAAAGAGAGGGTGGAATACTCTGATCAATGGGACTGTTAAGAGTTGGTAGCTAGTCAAAATGACCTAACAATTCTTTCATGCCATGCCATGCCAGGGCATTGGCTTAAGCCGGTAGGAGACTTGGACCTGCCTCGCATGGGCCAGTAGGCCTGTTGCAGTGTTCTTTCTTACTTATGTTCTTAACTGGGGAACTGAAGCTGACTTAAGATAATTCTGGTTTTCCTGTAAATACATTAGCCCACACTTCACATTTCCTTCCTGACCTCAACATCTCTCTGCTAAATGGTACTGTATGACAGGCTTACCATTTTTTGTGAATATAATACACAATGTGAAAGGTTGCAAAGAATAAACCACATTTAGTTAAAAACACTTAGAAAAAGGTACAGTAAAGTATTTGCCTGTATTTTAAAGTATTTCTTTATTAAAAATAATATTACTTATTTTTTATGTAACTCAGTGGCATGATCAACAACTGTAATAGTACTGCAGTTCTTTCATTCAAAATTTACATTGATGCTACTCTAAACTTCACCCCCCCCCAAAAAAAAAAAAAAACTGCATACCATACTACAAGATCTATATTTTACATAAAAAATTTCAACCATTTTTAAAGAAAAATTCTGTAAAATAAACTTATATTCTTGAATATTCACCAACAATACCTCTCAAATAAAAACTTTTAATTTGATGTTAAAACTGTCATTAAATTCTTTTTTAAATTCATCACATTAAGGAGTAATGGAGCCAAAAACATACTATTGTATGAAATTTTAAGAAATTCTCTTATGATTCTTTTTTCCATATTGGCCGTCTCCCACTGAGGCAGGGTAGGGCCAAAAAAGCAATACGTACGAGATTTATTCTTTCTCCTTTCAACACACCAGCCATATTTCACCGAGGCGGCGTAGCCCAAAAGGAAAAATGAAAGTAGATGTACTGATATTAAGTATAAAAAATGCAGTTCCCTTAAGGAAAGTGCCTGAATCCCGATAAGGGACTCTAGGTTCAAGATAAAGACTTCTCCCTTTCCTTGGATCAAACCTGATTGCCTCACATTCACATGGGATTAGTTTTTTTTTTTTTTTTTTTTTTTTAACAAGTCGGCCGTCTCCCACCGAGGCAGGGTTCTTCCCTCAATTAAAATACACAAAAATGCAGAACATTGGCCTTTAGTAAAATTCTTCGGGGCTTTAAATTAAGCCAAATTTTCCTGCAAAATTATCCAGTACTGGGAAACGTGGAACAAGTCTGATGAGCAATATTTTTTTTTTTTATGACACTGAAGAAATGTTAGATGTTATTTAAAGCTTCCAACAAAATGCTTTGGGCTATACATTACAATAACAATAGGAAGTTCAGTATAAATACCATAAAAGTGACAGACAATCCAAAATGGCATTTTCAGGATATTGAGTACAAGACACTGCCAAACACTAGGATTGATTAAAATCATAGAATGGAAACGTTTCCTCATTAAAATAAGCGTCTTATCCTTAACTTGTCAGTATTATATACAATACCTGGTTTGAACTATCACAAAATTGTCAGGAAGCAAAACAGTGAAAAACAATAAATGGAAAACTATGATCTACAGCATACTCTGTAACCCTCTCTCCCATCCCTGGTGACAAGCCTGGATAAACAAAATACTCTAAACATACTACAGTATAACCGTAGAAATAGCTAATAATGAGCCAAGAGAAATTTCTCAATCTGATTTTCCACATGAATTTATTAAAATAAGAACAGCACTCTCATAACTTCATATAGCTTAAATCACCCATGCCTATGCTCTCTCAAGAAAACAAGTTTATGGACAAAAATTATATTTTGAAATGGTGCTGCACAATGAAGAATGAAATTCTTTTTAAATTCATTCATTTACCAATAATAACTAATCAATATTTTTTTTATAAATTACTACTTGCCTTCATCTTACCAAAGTTTGTACTCAAAATCTTCATCACCTCTGCATGCTTTAGATTTCCTCCAGATTTCTTGACAGTTCCATAATTTTCTTTCACAAATATAGCAAATGCTCCTGGAGTTCTTGGAGTTTTTGGGGTGGCTCCAGCAGAAATACTAATTCCATTTCCAGTGCTTTGTATCCCTTTCTGGGAGTTCACAACTAGTTCAAATTTACCACGGCAATAGCCGCAAACTTTCTTCTGTGTGTCAAGACTCTTGGAATGCCGTCCAATGCTGAAAATGTTCAATTTATCATTATTAACAGGTACACTATATTATGTAAGTATTTTTTTTTTTTTTTTTTTTTGCCAGAGGCACGCTTACACTGCAGTTATAAAACTACAACATTAACACCCCTCCTTCAGAGCACAAGCACTGTACTTCCCATCTCCAAGACTCGAGTCCAGCCTGCCAGTTTCCCTGAATCCCTTCATAAATATTACCCTGCTCACACTCCAACAGCACGTCAAGTCCTAAAAAAAATTTGTCTCCATTCACTCCTATCTAACATGCTCATGCATGATTGCTGGAAGTCCACACCCCTCGCACACAAAACCTCCTTTACCCCCCCTCCAACCTTTCCTAGGCCTACCCCACCTTCCCTCCACTACGGATTTATATACTCTTGAAATCGTTCTATTTTGTTCCAACCTCTCTACATGTCCAAACTACCTCAACAACCCCTCCTCAACCTTCAGGATAATAGTTTTGGTAATCCCACACCTCCTCCTAATTTCTAAACTACGAATTCTCTGCATTATATTCACACCACACATTGCCCTCAGACATGACATCTCCACTGCCTCCAGCCTTCTTGTTGCAACCTTCACCACCCATGCTTCTCACCCACAAAAAAGGGTTGGAATAACTATACTCTCATACATTCCCCTCTCTGCTTCCATGGACAGTGTTTTGTCTCCACACTCCTCAATGCACCACTCACTTTTTTCCTCTCGTCAATTCTATGATTTGCCTCATCTTTCATAGAGCCATCTGCTGAAACGTCCACTCCCAAATATCTGAATACATTCACCTCCTGCATACTCTCTCTCTCCAACCTGATATCAAAACTTTCGTTACCTAATTTTTCATTATCATCATCACCTTAATCTTTCCTATAGTATTCACTTTTAATTTTCTTCTTTTACATACCCTACCAAACTCATCCCCAAGCTCTGCAACTTCTCTTCAGAATCTCCCAAAAGCAGGGTCATCAGCAAAGAGCAACTGTAACAACTCCCAGTTTGTGTTAGATTATCTTTTAGCCCCACACCTCTTGCCAACACCCAAGCATTCGCTTTTCTTACAATCCCATCTACAAATATATTGAACAACCATGGTGACATCACACATCCTTGTCTAAGGCCTACTTTTACTGGGAAATAATCTCCCTCTCTCCTACATACTCGAACCTGAGCCTCAGTATCCCCGTAAAAACTTTTCACTGCTTTCAATAACCTACCTCCTATTCCATACATTTGCAACATCTGCCACATTGCCCCCCCCTATCCACCCTGTCATAAGCCTTTTCCAAATCTGTAAATGCCACAAAAACCTCTTTACCTTCATCTAAATACTGTTCACCTACAAGTTTCACTGTTAACACTTGGACTACACACCCCCTACCCTTCCTAAAGTCTCCTTGCTCATCTGCTATCCTGCTTACTCTTAATTCTTTCAATAATAACTCTACCATACACTTTACCAGGTATACTCAACAGACTTATTCCCATATAATTTTTACACTCTTTTGTCCCCTTTGCCTTTATACAAAGGAACTATGCATGCTCTTTGCCAATCCCTAGGTACCTTACCCCCTTCCATATATTTAATAAATAAAAACACCAACCACTCCAAAATTATATCCCCCACCTGCTTTTAACATTTCTATCTTTATCCCATCAATACCAGCTGCCTTACCCCCTTTCATTCAACCCAATACCTCATGAACTTCCCCCCAACTCAAAACTCGCTCCTCCTCACTCCTACAAGATATTACTCTTCCTTGCCCAATACACGAAATCACAGCTTCCCTATCTTCAACATTTAACAATTCCTCAAAATATTCCCTCCATCTTTCCGATACCTCCAACTCTCCATTCAACAACTCTCCTCTCCTATTTTTAACTATCAAATCCATTTGTTCTGTAGGCTTCCTCAACTTATTAATCTCACTCCAAAACTTTTTCTTATTTTCAACAAAATTTGTTGATAACATCTCACCCACTCTCTCATTTGCTCTCTTTTTACATTGCTTCACCACTCTCTTAACCTCTATTTTCCTCTCCATATACTCCTCCCTCCCTAAATTATTATTTTTTTTTATTATCTCACTGGCCGATTCCCACCAAGGCAGGGTGGCCCGAAAAAGAAAAACTTTCACCATCATTCACTCCATCACTGTCTTGCCAGAAGGGTGCTTTACACTACAGTTTTTAAACTGCAACATTAACACCCCTCCTTCAGAGTGCAGGCACTGTACTTCCCATCTCCAGGACTCAAGTCCGGCCTGCCGGTTTCCCTGAACCCCTTCATAAATGTTACTTTGCTCACACTCCAACAGCACGTCAAGTATTAAAAACCATTTGTCTCCATTCACTCCTATCAACACGCTCATGCATGCCTGCTGGATGTCCAAGCCCCTCGCACACAAAACCTCCTTTACCCCCTCCCTCCAACCTTTCCTAGGCCGACCCCTACCCCGCCTTCCTTCCACTACAGACTGATACACTCTTGAAGTCACTCTGTTTCGCTCCATTCTCTCTACATGTCCGAACCACCTCAACAACCCTAAATATTATTTGTAAATAATGAAAAAGAAATATTTTATAAATATTTTAACACTAGAGGAGAGATTAGTAGATAAAAGCAAATCTACCAATATCAATGTGCCTTAAAGGAAAATTTCTGAAATATTCAACATGTAAATGTAAATCAATACAGGTTTTTCACTAGTACCTCAATTCATTTATGAAATTTTTGCACATACAAAGATGAAATGAACAAAAGTACTGTAATTGTAGTGCTAAAACACCATGAAATGTTGCTATTATCATAACATTAGATACTGAAAAAAGGTGAGGTTGGTGTAACTTAGAAAATTTCTGCTATGCTCATTTATACCAATGTTGCTGATGAGTGATTATTTTTTTTGCCAACTTCAGTTTTCACAAAATGTTAAGTTATCATCCAATTTTGTTTTTTGTTGCATTCCACTTAGAAATAAAGACTAATCTTTTTTTCTTTCTTTTTAATTTTGCCCCCACAGGTATGTGTTTTCAGGTCTGCCACACTTTAACCCGTAAACGATCCAAGCAGATCTACGTTCACATGTGTAGTGCTACAAAAGTAGATCTACATTTTTTTTACATATTTTCAAATATAACAAAAACAAAAAAAAGAGATCAAAGTTTTTTTACACATTTTGAAATGTAAAAAAACAAAAAGAAGATCTACTTTTTTTACATACTTTCAAATGTTGAAAAAACGTATATATACGTTTGGACCGTTTACGGGTTAAGGACTAATCATACACAATATGATAAACATAACAAAAGCAGTTTGCTAAGATATGCGTTAGCATACAAGGTTACAGGCAGGCTTTTAGAGCAGTACAACCAATGCGTAATCATTATTTACTGGTGCTGTAGTTCATGGAAGGTCCAATACAGGAAAGTGCATCAACAGGTGCAAGTAAGTGAACTACAAGAAAAAAGGTTGTCCATGAACAGTGTGCATAAAATGGGTAAGATACAGATGAGAAAGTACTGTACTTTGAAGAAAATATATTAACAAAGGAGGCAACAAACAGAATTTATTGGAAGATGAGAATGCACCAATCACAAAGTCACCAAAGAATAAAAGAAATATTTTTTAATCAAAACATACCTGTGTAAGCAACGAGTGCATCTGTATGTATACTTGCAGCTGATCTCGTAAGAGTGGCATCTATTGATGGCAGGAAGTTCTGGAAATGTGCGCACTGCCTGTGCTGCCCTGCAAACCAAATATATACATGAAGGACGAGGTTTACCATAGAAGTGACGAAGGAAAAAAGGTGAGTGGTGCTTTGAGGTATCTGTGGAGACAAAAAACGTTATCCATCCAGAGAGGTAAAGAAGGGAATGTTCAAGAGTATTGTGGTATGAAGCATGGGTTGTAAATGCTGCAGCAAGGAGGCTAGAAGCAGTAGAGATGTCATGTCTAGGGGAAATGTGTGGTGTAAATATTATGCAGAGAATCTGTAGTGTGGAAATTAGGTGGTGTGGTGGTGGTGTGGAGTTACTAAAAGTATTAGTCAGAGGGCTGAAGAGGGGTTGTTGAGATGGTTTGGTCATTTAGAGAGAACGGATCAAAGTAGAATGACATGGAGAGTGTATAAATCTGTAGGGAAAGGAAGGCAAGGTAGTGGCTGTCCTAGGAAAGATTGGAGGGAGGGGGTAAAGGAGGTTTTGTGGGCGAGGTTCTTGGACTTCCAGCAAGCATGCGTGAGTGTGTTAGATAGGAGTATATGCAGACAAATGGTTTTTGGGACTTGAGCTATTGGAGTGAGCAGGGTAATATTTTGTGAGGGGATTCAGGGAAACCAGTTAGTCAGACTTGAGTCCTGGAGGTGGGAAGTACAATTCCTGCACTTTTAAAGGAGGGGTTTGGGATATTCGCTGTTTGGAGTGACATCTAAACTGTTGTATCTGAGCACCTCTGCAAAGACAGTGATTATGTATGAATGATGGTGAGAGAGTTGAATGATGAAAGTGTTTTCTTTCTTTTTGGCTCACCCTGTCTTAGAAGGAAATGGCCGACATGTTAAAAAAATATATATACAGTAGTCCCCCCAAATTCGCGGGAGTCTGTTCCAAGACTACCCACGAATTTGGAAAAATCACAAATTCTGGATGCAGTTAAAAAATGCCCATTTTTATAGTTCAGACCCTAAATATGCCCTAAAACACTTCAATTTAATTTCAAACTCAACTTCACACATCACCCTTCAAAAAAAAAAAAAAAAAAAAAAAAAAAAATGTAAAGACAAACCCGTATACAGTACTGTACTGCTATGTCTCCCGCAGTGCTAGAATGTAAAATACCAATGTTACTCCCATATGTACTGTAAATCGTGCAAGCCCGTTTTCTTTGGTATACGTATGGTAAATATACGGTAATAATTTAATTTAGTAAAAGTATTATGTTTAATATGGAAATTTTCCTGAATTTACATTAATATGTATGTTACAAAATTATTAAATTATATTTTTCTTAATATTTAGCATTAAAACACAAATAATGATATATTGCCACACACACACACAAAACACACACACACACACACACAAACGCGGATGGAATAACGAATAAACATGAGGAGTGGAACGAAAGAATCAGTGAAAAATCCCCAGACATCATAGCAGTCACAGAAACAAAACTCGCTGAGACAATAACAGACACAATCTTCCCAACGGGATATCAGATCCTGAGGAAAGATAGAAGGAGTAGAGGGGGAGGAGGGGTTGCACTGCTCATAAAACACCGATGGGGATTTGAGGAAATGGAAGGCATGGACATGATTGGAGAAAGAGACTACATTGTAGGTACAATTCAGTCCGGAGAACATAAAGTAGTCATTGGAGTGATGTATAACCACCACAGAACTGCAGGAGGCCAAGAGAGAGGAGTACGAAGAAAACAACAGGGTGATGGTGGACACACTGGCTGAGGTGGCAAGAAGAGCTCACTCGAGCAGAGCAAAGTTACTGGTAATGGGCGATTTCAACCACAGGGAGATCGATGGGAAAACCTGGAGCCACATGGGGGTCCCAAAACATGGAGAGCCAAGATGATGGATGTGGTACTTGAAAAACCTCATGCATCAACATGTCAGGGACACAACCAGAGAGAGAGGGGAGGATGAGCCAGCAAGACTGGATCTTGTGTTCACCCTGAGCAGTTCAGACATTGAGGACATCACTTACAGAGGCCCCTTGGAGCTAGCGATCACGTGGTTCTGAGTTTGATTATATAGTAGCGTTACAAGTGGAGAAGGTAACAGGAACTGAAGGGGACAGGCCAAACTATAAAAGGGGGGACTACACAGGTATGAGAAACTTCCTGCAGGAGGTTCAGTGGGGACAGAGAAATGGTAGGAAAATCAGTAAACGAGATGATGGAATATGTGGCAACAAAGTGCAAGGAGGCAGAGGAAAGGTTTGTTCCCAAGGGAAACAGAAAAAATTTAATAAGACCAAAACGAGTCCTTGGTTTACCCGAAGGTGTAGGGAGGCAAAAACTAAGTGCAACAGAGAATGGAAAAGGTACAGGAGGCATAGGACCCAGGAAAACAAGGAATTAGTAGAAGAGCCAGAAACGAGTATGCACAGATAAGGAGGGAGGCCCAGCGACAGTTTTGAAAACGACATAGCATCGAAAGTCAAATCTGACCCGAAACTGCTGTATAGCCACATTAGGAGGAAGACAACAGTCAAGGACCAGGTGATAAGGCTGAGGAAAGAAGGTGGAGAACTCACAAGAAACGATCAAGAGGTATGTGAGGAGCTCAACACGAGATTTAAGGAAGTATTTACAGTAGAGACAGGAAGGACTCTGGGGGACAGACCAGATGGGGACACAGCAAGGGAATACACCAACAAGTGTTGGAACGACATACATACAGATGAGGAGGAGGTGAAGAAACAGTTAAGGGACATCGATACCTCAAGGCAATGGGACCGGACAACATCTCCCGTGGGGCCTTAGAGAGGGAGCAGATATGTTGTGCGTGCCACTTACCACAATCTTCAACACGTCCCTGGAAACTGGGCAACTACCTGAGGTATGGAAGACGGCAAATGTAGTTCCCATTTTTAAAAAAGGAGACAGAAAAGAGGCACTAAACTATAGACCTGTGTCATTGACGTGTATAGTATGCAAAATTATGGAGAAGATTATCAGGAGGAGAGAGGTGTAGCACCTGGAACGGAACAAGAGTATAAATGCCAACCAGCACGGATTCACGGAAGGCAAATCCTGTGTCACAAACCTTCTGGAGTTTTATGATAAATTAACAGAAGTAAGACACGAGAGAGAGGGGTGGTTGATTGCATCTTCTTGGACTGCAAGAAGGCCTTTGACACAGTTCCTCACAAGAGATTAGTGCAGAAGCTAGAGCATCAGGCACATATAACAGGAAGGGCACTGCAATGGACCAGAGAATACCTGACAGGGAGGCAACAACAAGTCATGGTACGTAATGATGTATCACAGTGGGCACCTGTGACGAGCGGGGTCCCACAGGGGTCGGTCCTAGGACCAGTGCTATTTTTGGTATATGTGAACGACATGATGGAAGGGTTAGACTCAGAAGTGTCCCTGTTTGCAGATGATGTGAAGTTAATGAGGAGAATTAAATCTGATAAGGACCAGGCAGGACTTCAAAGAGACCTGGACAGACTGGACACTGGTCCAGCAAATGGCTTCTCGAATTTAATCCTGCCAAATGCAAAGTCATGAAGATAGGGGAAGGGCACAGAAGACCACAGAGTATAGGCTAGGTGGCCAAAGACTGCAAACCTCACTCAAGGAGAAAGATCTTGGGGCGAGTATAACACCGAGCATGTCTCCGGAAGCACACATCAATCAGATAACTGCTGCAGCATATGGGCGCCTGGCAAACCTGAGAACAGCATTCCGATACCTTAGTAAGGAATCGTTCAAGACACTGTACACCGTGTTTTGTCAGGCCCATACTGGAGTATGCAGCACCTGTTTGGAAACCCGCACTTGATAAAGCACGTCAAGAAACTAGAGAAAGTACAAAGGTTTGCGACAAGGTTAGTTCCAGAGCTAAGGGGAACGTCCTATGAAGAAAGATTAAGGGAAATCGGCCTGACGACACTGGAGGACAGGAGGGTCAGGGGAGACATGATAACGACATATAAAATACTGCGTGGAATAGACAAGGTGGACAAAGACAGGATGTTCCAGGGAGGGGACACAGAAACAAGAGGCCACAATTGGAAGTTGAAGACACAAATGAGTCAGAGAGATATTAGGAAGTATTTCTTCAGTCATAGAGTTGTAAGGCAATGGAATAGCCTAGAAAATGACATAGTGGAGGCAGGGACCATACACAGTTTTAAGATGAGGTTTGATAAAGCTCATGGAGCGGGGAGAGAGAGGGCCCAGTAGCAACCGGTGAAGAGGCGGGGCCAGGAGCTAAGACTCGACCCCTGCAACCACAAATAGGTGAGTATACACACACACACACACACACACACACACACCGCAGTGGTCCCTCAATAATCGTCCGGCTCGATAGTCATCCTTTTCGGAAATCGTTGCGTTATTTTCGTCCAAACAATGGCTCGCAAATGGTCGGTTTACTCGCTAATCGTCCTTCGTCCAGGACGCATACTCACGCTCTGAGCGGCCTCAGCCTCCCTTCCCAGCCAGTGTGCCATTGTTTACCAGTGAGCGACGGTCCCCTCACTTGTTCATACGAAATATTTCATAATACAGTGGCCCCTCAATAATCGTCCGGCCTGAAAGTCGTCCATTTCGGAAATAGTCGCGTTATTTCATCTAAACATTAGCTCGCAAATGGTCTGTTAACTCGCTAATCGTCTTTCGTCCTGGACGCGTACTCACGGCTCTGAGCGGCCTCGGCCTCCCTTCCCAGCCAGTGTGTCATTGTTTACCAGTGAGCGATGGTCCCCTCACGTGTTCATACAAAATATTTCATAATATTCCATTTATTTTAGTGCTTGCAAGTGCTAAATAAGCTACCATGGCTCCAAAGAAAGCCCCTAGTGCCAAGCCTTTCGTAAAGAAGGTGAGAAATACGATTGGATTTAAGAAAAACATCATTGAATAATATGAAAGTGGCGTACGTGTGGGCGAACTGGCCAGGATGTATAGCAAATCCCGTACAACCATATCTTCCATCATAGCCAAGAAAAAGGAAATCAAGGAAGCTGTTGTTGCAAAGGGGGTAAATATTTTTT